CTATGCTCCTTCTGTCTACCTTTCTTTTCTTTTCAGAGACCCAGAGAGAACATAATCCAAAAAGTCAAGATTTGCCAAAAATAAACATTAAATTCATCAAATTAAATCTAATGATTAGTTATTGGTTCTAAGGTTGTTCTTATGTCCTTTTGTTACATTCAATATATCAATGAGATTTTGAAAAAAGTTGACATATTCGTCCATTATTGCCTCAAGGTGGAATGCACTTGTGAGGTATTTACTGCCACTTTGTTCTCGCTCTTCTCATCTTGTGCAACCATGCAAAAGAAACTGTCCTCTCTAGAAAAACAACAGCACTGGTTGTTTGTGCAAACAGCTTAAAATGGCCTATGTTAACAGTCTGGCCAAAGCAGGAAACAGTAGGATGTTCTATGTAGCGCAGAGTAAAGTTACTTATTAAGAAGATCAGTTGACATTGGTATTATTTAACCATGGTCACAAGCTTTCCTTAACCAGGTAGTGTTACTTGTTTAAGCAAAAGTACCTGTACTGATCTGTTTTCCTTTGATGTTACGGGTTAATCTTGTGTGTTGTCATTCCACAAGTAGTCAAATGGCTCATGGTGTTTGACTTCTTCTTCTCCTCCTTCTCCCCTTGGCCCATCTTTCTAAAATGAAGTGATGCTAGCCTAAGCCTTCTCTCCCTCCTGCTGGGTAGGGAGTGGTGGTGGTGGGGGGAGTGTGTGTGGGGGGGGGGCTAGGGGCTGGCGATATCAAAAAGTCCTTTCATCCATTTTAGATGAGATGCAGATGACTCAATTATGCTTGGCTGGACATCAAGTCCACTGGGCGGACAAGCTGCTAACGCTGGAAAGCGATCCATTTAATCCCACTGATATGAATGGCAGGGCGCTAACAGGGCTTGCAACGGTAAGAGAGTGAGACAGGTATGAGCGGGAGATGCATCAGCGCCGCTCTGGAGAAACAGCAAGCAGTGCACAAGAAAAACGGGGGATGAGGCCTTGGTAGCGAAGGAGAGACAGGAGGGAAGAGAAGGATGTCAAGATGCTATCCGCAGTATTTTAGTACCATAAAATTGAGACCAAGTTGCTAAAACACACTTTTGTCGCCATGTGTCACCGATGAAAGCAGAGAGAACTGGCATTATGCTCGAATAAAGGAATAGAAATAAAGTTGAGTGTTATCTGACAAGCAAGGCTCAGATCAAATGCCAACAGACAAATTGGCAGTTTCGCCTATAAAGGCTCCCAATCTTCTTGCACACAACCTTTTTTTGTTCACGGCAATCATGAAGATGTATCTAAATCTATCCAGAAATCATTTAATTAAAATGAAAATGTGAAAATGCTACAAATATGACTTTGTTTTAAGGAAGCCCCTTTTGGATTGGACTGTAACTGACGATTGAGTAGGAAATTTGACCAGAGGTGTGCGAAAATGGGTCAGCCACTTCAGATTGGAAATGAGTGAGGGCGAGATAAAAAGAGCAAGGTCCTGCAGGACTGATGATATCGGGGCCGCTGGTCACTAGAGCCAGGGCCACAGCGACGACCCACAAACATGCTCTATATTTTAACAGGCAAGTGTTTGATCTGCAGGGCCTCTCTCCCGCAAGAGCCCCTCTGCACTCTTCAACCACACATAAAGACGCACACACTCATCACGCCATAGCCTCTACTCATACTCATCAAGGCTGCTCAGCTGCCAGGCGTCCTGACAGCATCAGCATCAAGACTTCCCCATCACTTCCCTTTCACTCTAATACTCAGTGAACAGGGGGCAGTGAGCATGTCAGTGGTGATCACCCTGCTAACAGAGAGGGCAGTTGGTTTGCAGGAAGAGATTTTAGACATCAGCTCAACAGCTCCAGTGGCCCCTGGGTTCGGTCGGATCAAGTCATTGTATCTTGATCTTACTAAATTACATTTTATTTAAGACACATTTCATTAAAATACCGTCATCAATAATTCTAAATTAATCAAAAAACATGATTAAAATGGGATTTGATAGGAGGAAAATATTTTGGCTTGAAAGACAAAACTTTTATCTTTACATTGATTAGGCCCGTAATGTCTGTGTGACCGTAAGTGTCAGAGCAGTCACTGTAAATGCTGCCTAATATTTACACTGACATGAACCTCCGGCGGTCTGCCTTTTTTATGACCTTTAGTGCAATTAACAGTTGCAAAACATTAGGGCTGGTGTTGCTTCACATGTAGTCAATCAAGCCAGTGTTTTGTCGGTGCAGAGTGGTGTTTGTCTGTGTTGGTGACAAATGAGTGCAGCCCGTCCCACTGCTGACAGCCGCCCCAGAGCGGCGATGCTATCTTCAGCTCTTCAGCCTGCTTCTACAATTACTACTGCCTCTCTGGCCCCAGGGCCTCCAACACCAGCCTGCACTTTGAAACCTGGGACACATACACACACATTGAGATACATTACACACATCTATTCCTTTGTACAAACATCCTCACAGAGAACTTTACACATGTATTCATTCGCGTAGACACACAACGCAAATACTGTTGCGTGTTTTGTACAAAGTCAGAAGAATGCACCAAGCTGGTCAAAAAAGCAAGGACAGGTTATGCAATCTTAATATATGACATTGTATGACATTAGGCTTGAGGTCAGATTTACTCCATTCTAAACATAAAATAAAAATGTCTTCTGTTGTCATCATTCACCACAGTAACATAATAAATATGTTGCGTTTGTTGATCCTTCTTTACAAATTGGATATAAAAACAATTTGGATTTAGATCCATTTCCTGATTTCATCAAAGTGCACTACAATCAACTCGGGCTTCATAGCCACACACCGAAACATTTGACTTGGATATGACCCCAAACTGATACCTTTCCCCACCACACACCTGGTTGTTTTATCTATCCCTGCACCTATTGTTGGCCTAATTGAGGGTGGCTTGGCTGGTTGGCTGGTGGCTGACCCCGGTCAGAACAATGCATACCTGTGGCTCTCACCAGAGCTGTGTAATTGTCTCTTCAAGTGGGGCCCTTTTCCAGTCTGCCCCCGAGGGAAGAGCGCTCCGCGCTCATCCATCACTCAGTCACTCAGCCACTACAGGAAGTGGTTAACATGGGTGACCTCTGGGATGGCGGTCCACTGTTGGAAGGGGGTGTGGAGTTGAGGTTTTGGAGACACATACAGAACATTAGCCATCACTTCAACACTGACAGTGACATCACTCAATCAATCAATCCATCAATCAATCCGTCATAGAAGCGGTTTGATCTGCTAATCCAGCCGGTTCCTGTGAAGTTTAGAGAAAACAGAAAGCTGGCAGCGGGCTGAAAAGAAGAAGATGCAAAGAGCAGACGTCTTTCATGTCCACTTCTCAAATATCAGAAACAAAGTCCACAGTTGTTTGTGCTTCCATTACCTTTGTATCTAGATGAGTCTACAGCCATAGCTGTACTTAGGTACAGCAATGCTTGGATCCAAATGCTAACATCAGCATGCCAACATACTCACAATAACAATGTTACCATTGCTGCTGCTTCAGCATGTTTAGTTTCCAACACAAAGGGAATGTCATTCGTTTTCTCAAGTATTTATTCATCACAGTATTGGACAAATTAAATCCTTGACCTAATGATGGTGCTGAATGTGACAACCCTCTACGCCCTGTTACTTGGTTTGTGTGCCTACTTTCTTCCAGGCATTAGAGGTGTGCATGGAAAAGGTTCATCAGTAAAATGGCAACATGTGTACCAAATATCATGACAATCCTTTTTTTAGTTGTTTAGACATTTCACTCAAAACCACGAATTTGAATCTCATACTGGCAAAATTAGGATACATCATCCAGAAACCATGAACATTTTAACAAAATTTTGTGCCAATGAATGTTGTACATGTAAAGATATTTCACTTAACCTGCTGGTGGTGTAAAAGGAAGATCAAGGGGATCACCAAAATCAAGATGGTTCATCCTCAGGGAACCATGAATGTCAGTACAAAACTTCATAGAGAAACGCTAACAGAATAAGACCCAACTAATTCAACAAAATCCCTTGAATGATGCAACACTGCTGATGATTGCCATATTTGGTCCATACAACAATGCAACCATCTCAAACAACTTATTTGAGATGGTTGCATTCAAACTAGATGGAAGTAGGAGGAGTTGGAGGTCAAAAGTAATGGAAAACCAGTTCTACTTGTGAATATTTGAGTTATGTGAAAAAAAAGCAGTACCATGCTAGTCATAATCCGATAAGTATATCTAATTATTTGCTTTTGCTTTCAAACCAAAGATAGTTTTCTCCACGGGAAACATGAATGTATTTGTATTACCATCCATTATCTTCAACACCTCATCCTGTTTAGGGTCAGGGTGGCTGGAGCTGATCCCAGCCGACATTGGGCAAAGGCGGGGCACAAAGACATGCAGCTTAGGTTAATTGACGACTCTAAATTGTCCGTAGGTGTGGCTGTGAGCATGAATGGTTGTCAGTCTATATATGTCAGCTCCGTAATAGTCTAGCGACCTGTCCAGGTCCAGGGTGTACCCTGCCGTCGCCCTGTCAGCTGGGATCTTCTCCAGCCCCCCTGCAACCCTGAACAGGATAAGCGGTGAAAGATAATGGATGGATGGATGGTATTTGTATTTAAAAGTTCTGGACGCATGTCTGCGCCTGGCACTGTGAAATGTCCTGGTGCAGTGAACTTGACCCTTCTTGCACTCACAGCAACTTCATTCAAATGTTAGGGATTATTTTTTGGCCTACTTTGCATGCAAGTACTATTTCTCTTTATCTTGAGGTAGACAGAGAGTCTAAGGACAGTAACTCAACTACACCACAGAGGGAGAGCAAGGAGACACATGCTTGCATGGCTTGTCTCGGTTTAAGGTCAGGTCAAAAATATGAGGAGAAATACAACCAGTCAACGTCTAAACTGAAACACACACGCATGCAAGTAAGAAGAAAGTTTTGTACCTGTCGTAAAAAATAATAGTGGACAAAAGCACACAGAGAACAGAGGGACGCAGGTTGTTGGATTTCTTTTTATTTACTGCCATTCCTAATGCTTCAGACAGACAAGCTGTGGCACAGGGAGCACAGAGTGATTCAAACAAGTCAACGCTACTGCCGATCTACAAACAAATCTCTGACAACAACAAACAAGAGAGGCGCTGCAAAAGAAGAAGCAAGAAGAACAGCGTTTGGCAACCATTAACGCCTTGGAAACTTCAGAAGTAAAAAAAAAGGAGTGCACTCTGCATTTTTAATAGTAAACAGCGTCTCTACTTCATCATGAGCTAGATAGAGAAAAGGAATCAAACAAGTAGGGCTTCTACACTGCTCTGAAGCCGGCCCCCTTTTCCACCCTTCTTAGCTGTTTTGAAAGTGGATTTTGTCAGAAGCGCCGGATCTTTCTCTCGCTTTCTCGGATGGCCTGCAGCATTACAGGGGAATGTGGTGCTCTACACACTTTAAGAGTAATTAAAAGCGATTGAACAGCTGTACTTATGAGAAATGGCGGTTGTGTTCCGGGTCATTCTATCAGTGTTGCCTTTCATCGGAGCAGAGGCGCAGGGGCCCCGCTGCTAGCCTCTGTTTCTCCATATGCATATCTTCAAGAACAAACAACCGGCAGGCTGCCTACAGGCTCACACACACACGCACACTATCACATTCATACACTCGTGCCGTCATGTAGACATGTGGGAGAGGAAGCGTGCACGAACACACAGGCCAACAACTGATCACATGTATATTCACATGGCTAAATGCACACAAACAAACCAATGCACACATACAGGCTGTCACACCTCCGCATGGCACAAGCACACAATCACGTCGTAAAACACTGAACAGCACATTCTTCACGCTCTCCATTGGGTGACATTCATGACTTTCTTCCAATAATCTTTCTTTGGTCGCTTCAGGTTCATTCTATTTCTGAACACAATAAAACACAATATACACAAGTGAAGAATGAAATACTATGTGAGCAATTTGTACTGTTGTATACTGTATTATAACACTGTGTGACGAATAGAAAGCATATATGCGTGCACTGTAAATACTGACAATGAGTTAGTCTATTGATACAAGCATGTCTGGGTTACATGAGATTAAGTAACAGAATACACTGAAATAATAAATAGTTACACAATGTATGCTAACACTGAAATGCAGGTTCCGCTATTATTATGTTTCGTTAGACCATCGTGACACTAGTAGCTCGTCGCTAAGCTTGCGTTGTTGGCATGTTACTGAAGCACTATTCCACTATTCCAACTCCAAGCAGGGGTGGCTGAGAAGCCGGGGTCAGTGGAGTAGGGGGGGGTGGGGTGGATGGGAGGGGTGCAGAAGAACCAATCGAAACAAAATCAATCTTGGTGGAATCACAACAGAGGTGTCTGTCCTCTCAGCTGATGTGGGGGGGGGGGGGGGGGGGGCATTCACAAAAGCTGGTGGGTTTTCCCTTCTCACTTCCTCTATCCATCCTTCACATCCTGTTGACAAAGACGAAACATATATGTTATGATTGGACATGAGGTTATCTTAACGCTGCGATGTAATTGTGACCGTAATATATTTACAGAAGCTCAGTTGAGTTTATATATTGACCATTCAAAGGGTTGCTCTGAGACGAGTGGTTGAAATGCCTTAATGCAGGTCTAGAGGGGCCCAGGATACTTTTATGTTTGATCAATAGGAAGACCAACATTGTTGAACTTCAGCAAGTGTAATGTATTGTATTGGCCACTCCAACCACCAATGCTACTGAATACCACTGAATACATCTACTATTGGAGTCTGTGAAAGGACTTGCTGAGCATATTGTAGAGTGTGCATGTAAAATATGTGTGAACGCAGGTGTTGAAGTGGTCAAGGCCAGGACAAACCTCTGCCTTGTGCAGCTCCCAATGTTGAAAAAGTGATATTGTAATGTTGTTTTCGGCATTTGTTGCTTCACATGCACAACATGCAAAATACTATCTATCTATCTTACTTGACTCTTCATCATGTCTCGAATCATGCATTGGTCTGCAAATAATCACACCAACACCCATGTGGCTGTGTGAATTTATGTGAAAATAAAAATAATAAATACATTAAATGACCATTAAATCACAGATGATTAACAAGTAAACGAGTTGTATGTGTACAACGTGCACATACAACTCAAATTTCCCCACTTCAACATCTCGGGCCCACCTCCAGAGCAGTGACTCCACTCTGTTGATGATGTCAGCCAGATCAAAGGGCAGCGGCATGTTGGGGTCATCCACACCCCAGAAGGGCCGGTCCACTGGGGCCTCCTGAGGGGGTAATGTCTGCGCCAGACTTGAGTGGCACCTGAGGCGACAGGACACAGGAAACAAGCGCACCCATTAACTCCTCCCTCCCATCAAAACCAACTGGTAGACACTCATCAGCAATCGGGCACACGTCTCAAGTTGCTCGTTAAACTTTCTACCGGTGCTTCTCCTTTTGTGAGATGTGGGCACTTCTCAAATCATCAAGAGTTATGTTTCTACATCCTTCTGCAATTGCAACTTTATTCATTCTAAAGGAAGTCGTGCCCGTTGACAGCAGAGGGATTGTAGCGGGCGAAGAAGAAGAATCTTTCTTTCTGGATCTCCTGTATTGACTGATGGGGTCTTTAAAGCGGTCGACCCCAGAAATGTCAAGTTGTTAAGTCAATGATATGTGTGTGTGTTAACTCCTCCCTAAACACACAGTGGGTAATGTGTGTTTGACCAGGAAGCAGTCGGCTTGTGTGTTTCCTCTCCTTTTTATGACCGCTAATAATACTGGCCTCAATTAAAACCTCCAGGATATGAGAGAGTAAGTGTGTCTGTGTGTCTGTGTGCACAAAGGACACTGGAATTTATTTGTACAAATGCTTCAGCTGAGCGATAGGGAGACACTGCTGCATCAGGAAAGTATCAAGCCGAGGAGAAATCATGATATCATGTATTGTGATTAATGTCCCATTCATACTTCACACACAGCACCATGCTTTCAGAAGAACATCACTCTCTGTCGTTGCAATCATGACAAATCCAGCCCTCTTCACGTCACGCTGTTATTTTCATATGATTCATAATCTGGGGTTAGTTGTAATTTCTACAGTGCTTGGAACCCCCACAGACCTGAGCCACATCTTTTGTCTGACCAGTGTAAATATTTACTGTGGTGACTTGGTGTTGCTCTCCGCTGTCATTGTAAATCTGCCCTCCCTCTGCCTCTTGACAGATGAGAGTGACCCCTGACCTGGAGGTGAAAGAGGGAGAGGAGGAGGATGACATTTGTGTGTGTGTAGCGTGTGTGTGTGTGTGTGTGTGTGTGTGAGAGTGGTGGCCTAAGATTTCCTTCTAGAGCCACAAGGCCATTTCTAGTACCCACTCAGTCATGATACCAGGGTCTGGTCCTATCATATTCCTTTACCCCATCCACACCCTAAAGAACCTCAAACAACCTCCACACACACACACACACACACACACACACACACACACACACACACACACACACACACACACACACACACACACACACACACACACACACACACAAGACCACCACCACCTTGTGGCCAGTGACTACAGAAGGGGATGGGGAAGGCACAGAGAGCTGAAGAGAAGGATATGATGGCCGGTTATGGATGGATGAGGGGATGTTAAAGTTGTCAGGGGACAGCCGGGGGCTGCCACAATTTGTGGTTATATATTTTCACCGGAGCCACTTAATGTTCGACTGGCTCTCAGCCTAAGTGCTGCATTTTGGTGCGGTTAGCCCTTTAAAGAGCTGCTGCATTACAGTGGTGAGGAGCAGCATTAACATCCACTGTTCCAATATATCTTCTGCGCCCTGGATCAGTGCCTGATAATAGCATCTGTTAACATGCACTAAGTACCATTATGTAGCACATCACTTCATAAATAATACGATTAGGCGACCTTGGGGCTTTGCGACGAGCCGTGTGTTTAAATGTTCTCATCATTTATTTAGGGTGCGAATTAAAGGAAGCGCCACTTCAGAGAAGGAGGAGGAGGAGGAGGAGGACATGGCTGGCATACATATCTACAGAGTGTGTGAGAGAGAGAGAAAAACTGACCCAGACAGCACCCAGTCACACTGTGTGGTGCTGCTGACATCAGCTTGAGGACACCACAGGCCTTTGATTTGGTCTGATTAAGTATTCATGCAGTAGAGCTATGAGAGAAAACACTCGCCTCTTTCCTGCTGCCCTGACTCCTTCTGAAAGGCAACATGCCGTAAAAACCTGACCAGCCGCCTTCATGAGAGCTGCTGCATTTATCTAACAAGGGATCTTGCAACATTAGCTTGCAAATAGAAGGCTCCTGGGTTACCAAAGATATAAAAGATATCAAGACTGGAACACTATCAAAGATAATATAGTGTAGGTAATTCAGCACACACTTTTACACAATCTACCACTGTTCACAGCGTACCGTCCCTTGACTGCTAAAATGGAACCAAACAAAAAGTCAATATCGAGCGAGGTGCCTTAAGCTCTCCAGGGCTCTTGCTCGAAATTCAGTGTAAGCCACAGTGGCGTACAAACAAGACTTTCCCATGGCAGAGCAGCCCACCTTAAAGTTAAGGTCAAAGACAAAGAGGTTCATAGGAGGGGGGGGGGTTGCAGGAGGCAGCGAATGTGTTTGTGAGTCCAGGCTGTTCCAATGGATTAACCCCAGACAGATATGGGCCTAACTATCCCATCTGGCGCTCGGTCAAGAGAGATTGGCAACACAATCACTCATTTCAATTTGCCCTGAAACCTTATAGCCTGGCAGGCCCCCGCTCAAATGGTATGCTAATGTGAAAGGTATCTAGGATTCTATCGCCTCTATTCCACAGAGGCCTTTCCCTCCGCGCAGCGCAGTGCACTTGAACCTGCGGCTGGGGCGGGAGCTCCACGGCCCTCGCTGCAATAAGGTCCGGAGCCCCCCTTTGCGCTCAAACTAACCACTTTAGCTAAAGTGAGTGTTAATTATGGACAGGCAAAGCAGTCAATAAAAGGTTAATGTAAAAGTCAAAGGATAAATTCCTTTAAGCATTGCATCATTCCACCATCTCCGCGACCAACACACTGCTCGCAGGTCTCCTAATCAATACGTTTTACTGTAATGCGCTCCTCATCGATTTCCTTCCCCCCCCCCCCCCCCCCCCCCCCCCCCCCCCCC